AGAAATTGACACAAATGGGTCGCAACGCAAATAATAATGTAATATGAATGTACATGTATATAAACTGATTTACATTCAATCGTTTATTTTGTTACTCTAATTTCAAATCAGTTATGTTTAGCGTAGTACACTAGAAGTCTCAATCGAATGGCAATCTCTAGCGTCTGGTTATTTCAGTGTACACCGATAGTATTTATTGCCTATGCTCTCCAGATACGAACAGGAGGGATATAAGAGTAGGCGATAGTGCCGCTGCCCGGGCAAAATTTCCCTCATAGCACACTGTATGGCGTATGCCCGTCTTCATTAGCCCAGTATAGGAGCAGAACAGTAGGACGTTAAACACCATTTCATTTCATTTCATTTACGAACAGAATGTCACCGTTTGACATGACTTGTGGAATATGTCTAGCCTCGTTTCGAGTCCATTGTTATAAATGGCGCTGAAACGCATTATGGTACACGATTCGTGTACCAATGGTAAAATGTTTATGTTGCCTTTAAAAATATTGGATATCAGAAGCCCATCTTTTGCCGGTAAGATCACAACATCAATGTTGATTTAAATTAACAAATAATTTTTGGGGTCATTTTCTTGCTTTGTGTTCACCTTTGCCGGCGACCTTGTCTCTTCAAAGCACGTAATGATTTAGAATGAAATGAAATGGTAGGTTAACTTCCATGTCGAAGACTGTGGATGATATTGAGTTAGAGACTTAGCTCCTTTAAACACATTTATTATTTTATTAGCTAATAGAATGTTATAATATTACTCAAATAACACCGAAACATTTAACTGCTAGCTATAATATTACTCAAATAGCACCGAAACATTTAACTGCTAGCTATAATATTACTCAAATAACACCGAAACATTTAACTGCTAGCTATAATATTACTCAAATAGCACCTAAACATTTTAACTGCTAGCTATAATATTACTCAAATAACACCGAAACATTTAACTGCTAGCTATAATATTACTGGGGGGTTTGGATGACCGAATGGTTAGCACGTGCGTGCTTTATCATAAGACCTGTCATTGAGTCAACTGGCGTGGTTTCGAATCCTCGGTTGTACGTGACAAGGAGTAGGGTCGCCTGTCCAACCTCGTGGGTTTTCTCCGGGTCCTCCGGTTGCCCCCCCCCCCTCTGCTAAAGACCGCTACGCGCAAGCGAAATATTGAAATAAAATTAAACCATATATTAGTCCCGAAATGACCTAGTTTGTGTCGAGTGGACGTTAAACCCCATTTCTCTCTCTCTCTCTCTAATATTACTCAAATAAAATGAAAAGGGGTTTAGCGGTTTAACGTCTTACTGTTCTGCTCCGACTGGGCTATATGAAGACGGTCATACGCCATACAGTGTGTTATGAGGGAAATTTACCCGGACAGCTCAAAACAAACGCCATGACTCGACGATCATTGGCGACCATGGAGACCACGGCACGATTTTTAGCGTTTCGACAATGCTTTTACCACGCTTATAGCGATCTTGACGCCCTTTGAGACCATTTTCCGGCGCCGTAGCAGCGCAGTATAAAGGACATCACCCCTGTCTGACGGGAGGTATTAGTATTATAATATTCTAAACATAGACCACAAGTGATTCACGTTACAATTATACAATCATATTTCTATAATATATGGTCTAATTCTCTCAAGTTTGAGCCTGAGAAATAGACGGTACATCAAATCCTACCTCTATGTAAACCCCATTTCATTTCATCGCATAAAAATAGTGTCTGCAAATGGACTGGCCGACGTTTTAGATTTCGAGGTCCCATACGCACGTTGTCGTGCAGGTAACAGATGCTTTGGCAGTTGGAATTCACTCATTGCATACTGCATGGCGTGTGCCCAGTCTTGCAGAAAATTAAGCCGTTAAACCCCATTTCATTTCATTGAAGGTGTGTTCGATACGTAAGAGATATAGCAAAATGTGATTAAAACAAATTTAATTGATCGCGCGTACCATTTCGTACAGACATAATAATAGGAGTTTATCACCACTACAATTAGTTTAGTATTCTCACAGGAAAACGAGAATATAAATAAAGTCCTGTATTATTATTAATTATATATCATCAATTGACGGTGTGTATATCACCCCTATAAATAGATAGATATTATACAACGAACAATAGAGTTATTTTTATATCTGTATTAAACCGTATAACCACGTCATGTACAAGGGCCGGTTGTTCAAAGCTCTGTTAAAGGGATAATAACACTCTTGCTGGCTTGACAGCTCCAGAAAATAAAAAATAGCCTTACTCTAAGTACTAGATGTGTACTAAATATTCAAAAATATTTTTAAATCCAAGTCACATTTGAAAAGCTTTACGTCAGGCTTTTCAAATCATTTAGTTGAATTTTTCCAATTTTTTAAATTAGGTGTGTTAAGATGAAATTTGTATCACCAATTAATTGAAATATTGTAAAATAGTACAATTTGTTGACTAGAATAAAGATTGGGACATATTATTCAGTTACAACAAGAGTGGTATTGAGCCTTTAACTTATAATGACTGGGTAATATGGAGTTAATGGATAGTTAACTTGCTGTTATATTTAACAAGAGAGAGAGAGAGAAAGATGGGGTTTAACGTCAACTCGACACAAACTAGGTCATTTCGGGACTAACACATGGTTCAATTTTATTTCAATAATTCGCTTGCGCGTAAGGGTCTTTAGCAGTGGGAGGAAACCGGAGGACCCGGAGAAAACCCACGGGGTTGAACAGGCGACCCTACTCCTTGTCACGTACAACCGGGGAATCGAAACCACGCCAGTCGACTCAATGACAGACTTTATGATACAGCGCGCACGCTAAACATTCAGCCATCCAACCCCCGATATAAATAACTAAGGTGTTGGGATCCGTTATCTGCCATTAGTCAGTTGTCACTCGTAGTATATCCTAGCAAAGAGTCATAGATTACTCGTGTAATTTTCTATAGAATATTCTGGATGGTTGGACGATGGGGCGGGGGGGGGGGGGGTGCTATTCCATTTTCTATAGGATGAAATACTATAGTATTCTACAGAGTTTTGGGGGCCTGTAGGAAATAATGGCCCCAAATATTCTACAGTTTTTATAGTGCAAACGCCGTAATTATTCTATTCTTACAGATTTAGGTTAAGATTTCTAAAGGAAAAAATAAAGTATTCTATATATTTTTATAGTGTTTTCTATAGTAAATTCGGTTTTCTGAACAGATTGCACAGTTGTCCTACTGTCTTCAGTTTCTTGTTAATACTAACTTCATACATATACATTGAATTTGAAACCAATAAACAGTCTTCTCTTGGATTAACTTTAATCAGTCTGTTCGCTAACGGATAATGAAACTGACTTTCCAGCGGTTTGTTCTCACTTTCCCAGCAGATTAACCCTACTAATTAAGCGGATTAGGGATTAGTTATAGATTAGTGTGTTATACTCTGTTTTAAATTATTGCATAAACAGTTCAATTTAACCTATGACATGTGTGAACTATAAATCACTGTCTGATTTTTCGTTCATATGTCAGTTTAATTTTATACTTAATTACGATGAACACTGTTTATGATAAAAGTTTATTAAATAGTTGAAAGTTCAAATTGTATGTCATTCCAAAATGGCTAATGCACAGGTAAACGTTAGATTCATTCCAAACTCGAGAGGTACTCGAAGCCTTGTTTATGATAATTATAAGTTTAGTGTTAAGACAAGAAGAGGAGCCATCATTCACTGGAGGCGAACTGTTCGTGAATGCCCTCAAGCTGATCCAACCAAATTAAAAGTTGACATGTTTTTATCAGCAATGAAAGAATCGGTTAAATACTAAATTTGTTAATAAAATAACTTGTATGTAAAGTAGTTAATATTGATATGAAAAATATATATGTACATGCTAAATTTGTTAATAAAATAACTTTTATGTAAAGTGGTTAATATTGATATGAAAAAGACTATAGTTTTAACACCATTGTTACCCTAATTAGTACTGGTCCAATGAGTTTACCTGGAAAACAATAGCTGCTGGGAAAGTGAGAACACCCCATTTCCAGCATAAGAAATTTAACGGACCGTTAACAAACGTGCGGCACGTTAGCAAGATAACGATCCCTTAGAGTCTAACGGAGCGTTAAAATTACTTAGTTTTTGAGCAACCGATCCCACGACTTTAATGAGCGGCGGATCTTAATAACTGCCATGAAAACTTCAGTATTTTGTGTGTGTGTGTGGGGGGGGGGCTGTGGGGTAAATTGGGTTTAGCATCCTACTTTCCTGCTCCAACAGAGCCAATGAAGACGGCATACACCATAGCGAAATTTACCGGAGACAGCGGCGCTACGAGAGGGGGGTAACATCCACTCGATACAAACTATGTCATTTCGGGACTAACATATGTTTTTTTAATAACTAGGTCATTTCGGGACTAACATATGGTTTAATTTTATTTACATAATTTGCTTGCGCGTAGGGGTCTTTAGCAGTGGGAGGAAACCGGAGGACCTGGAGAAAACCCACGAGGTTGGACAGGTGACCCTACTCCTTATCACGTACAACCGGGGATTCGAAACCACGCCAGTTGACTCAATGACAGACCGTATGATACAAAGCGCACGCCATGGTTCCTGAAGTGTAGTCAAATGAAAAATAATGTCTCGTTTAATTGGGAAACATGACATACTAAAAGTAAATAGACAATAATTATCCTCCCTATCAGTGATCATAGTAGAATCTTTATTAGTCTCTAAATGATTGAAGTAGTCATTTCCGTTTATATATCTCAAGAAAGCATCTACTTATATTCTCATTGGTCATGTGAATCCGCCTCTCCGCCCCTTGTATAATAAGACGTCTGTATATTGAACGACATGACTACACAGCCTATATCTGTCTGATCTTCAACTTTACAAGGACATCCTTAATGACGATGATGTAAAAAGCTATAATTAATGAAACGGAACTCTCCCCTCTATATCTATTAGACTCATCATAAGCAATCTTGTATAAATATATCAGCTCTTTCACCAGTTCAACAAACGACTTGGGGACGTAGAATAGACTAACGACTTGAAGACATATAGCTTCTAACCCTACATAAAACGGTAAGCTATGTACGGCTTATATTTCGATATATGATCAGTTCAGCTAATTTTGTGCACTTACTTTTTAAAACCATTTTATTTATTTATTTATTTATTTATTTATTTATTTATTTATTTATTTATTTATTTATTTATTTATTTATTTATTTATTTATTTATTTATTTTATTTATTTATTTATCTTTCTATTTATTTATATATTTTATTGGTTTAGTTCATTCATTTTTTTGATTATTTAGTTCTTTATTGATTTTTTCTACTATAAAATTGCTATCATTCTTTCGTGTAAAGAGAATATTCACAGAGGCGATTTACCCTTTACTACCTAATACTACCCAATACCACCCAATACTACGCAATAATACTGAAATACTACAAATACTACCACATGCTACCTCATTATTGTGAAAAACTAACAGAATACTTCAAATATATAAACAAAAATGAGTTAATTCGCGGTATTGGGTAGGGTTGGGTATTATTGGATTGTGTTGGGTAGTATTGGGTAATTGCTGATTTTTGTCTCAACAGAAAGCCTACTGAGATCGACATGAGGATAGGGAGTGTGATTTTATGGGGGATTACCCTTCTGATGTATATGGTATTGGTGTCGGCACAAGATCCTGAATCAAGTTAGTATTCATTAATATTATCAAAACTTATAGTTTACCGTTAAACCAATACCCTGGTACAATATATCTCTGTTGGTGCTGACGTGCCATTAAACAACATTACATTCCTGAAAATGGATTATATAAGCACTAAATCTGCCTATTAGATGTCTTTAGTTTGACTTCAAAAGTTATATAAATTATTATTTAAACCTTGATTCACATGACAAGTGTATAATCAACTCTCTAGCACATCGGATGGCAGGGGTTTAAATGGATTAGAACGCTCGCGAGATTTAAAAATGTCCAGTGTCGTTGCTACGATAATAAACAATTTACGCTACATCGAACCCGGCGACTTCAGCTTAATGAGTCAAAGTTTTTTGTTCACGGGGTTATGAGAGAGGGAGAGAGAAATGGGTTTAACGTCCACTCGACACAAACTAGGTCATTTCGGGACTAAGATATGGTTTAATTCTATTTCAATAATTCGCGTGCGCGTAGGGGTCTTTAGCAGTGGGAGGAAACCGTAGGACCCGGAGAAAACCCACGAGGTTGGACAGGCGACCCTACTCCTTTAATTTAATTTAATTTAATTTATTTTATTTTATTTTATTTTATTTTATTTTATTTTATTTTATTTTATTTTATTTTATTTATTTTATTTTATTATTTTATTTTATTTTATGTTATTTTATTTTATTTTATTAATTTAATTTAATTTAATTTAATTTAATTTAATTTAATTTAATTTAATTTAATTTAATTTAATAATTTAATTTAATTTAATTTAATTTAATTTAATTTAATTTAATTTAATTTAATTTAAAGTGCACATAAGATATGGGCTTGGAAACTTTTGGATATGTGTAGCCAATGGTTACTATATCAACTTTACGGCAAGTTCACACCAATCTCATTGAAATTAATTCAGTTATCTTCACTCAAAGTCGTAAAAATAGACCTCCCGTAAAAACGACTTTGCCAATTATCGAAAACACTCTTAATCCCCTCAGACGCCAGTGACGTCACAGTGACCGAATGCATATTCGGAATGTTTATTCCTTAATTACCTATATACAACCGGCGTGTGTACTCATTAACGCCTGACTGGTTCTTTAATCCCCCTTAGTTCCTTAATTAAATAAAACAATTGACTACGGAATAATTTGTTTTGTAATTCATTTTAATTTATGATTCAATTTAGAATTTGTTTCTCATGACAGGAATTTTACTACCCTCTAACATCGTGTACAGTCCAATTGATTAGAGATACATTTTCGTCAAAAGAGTATTGTGGTTCTAATTTCCGCGAGTAAAAAAGTACAGTGTTAAAAAGATGTGGTCATGCAAATTGTATCATAAAAGTCAAACATGATTGAAAAGCGATTTGTAAATGACGATCCGTTATCATCGTACGACGGATTTGACTTCATTACTCTGAAATAGACCGTAAAAATGAAATGCGAAAAAATATCTCAATATACAGTACAAATAAATTTTGAGGGTAACCATCTAAATGGAATAACAGACAGATTGAGAAGTGTCATCTAACTATCTTTGTGTATTGATAATAATATGACAAGTAGTGTCGTTAATATCTGTCATTAATTAATCAATGCGACTAAACTTATACAGACTTGGGGGTCATTATTTAATTTACATCTCGGTGTTAGCCGTGATTGTTAGTGGGATTAAGAATGCTGATTAGGTAATTATCTTTATTACGCCGGCCAGATCAAAGACATCACTCTAGGTGGAATGTGTGCGTAGTACCCACAAATGAACTAATGGTAGAATCGTACACACACATATTAATGGTATAAAATAATTAAGTTTTACTAATAAGTTTTTTTAAAATTACTTTATACCCAATAATTATTGCTCACCGGTGTTTTTGTAATCAAGTAGCCTCGTATTATTTGTTGATTGGGGTTTAAACAACATTTAATTGATGGATGGATTAACGTTTTAGATAGTGATACGATTAGGTTATAATGTCTAACATCGGTTATCTTCTTTATAATAAAAGTATTTTACAATTGCATTGACAGTTTAATTACTCACCAAACGGCACCAGGAACTCCACGAATGATCCCGTGCAATTTTCGCGGCGAAGTTTAACCTCATTTACTACACCCGTAGTACATGGAACGGTACATGATAATAAGATACCAAGCGTTGATTGGCAGAGAAATGAGTGCGATCTATTGTACATGTTTTGCATAGTCATCGGAAAATTCCATATTCACTCTAGTTGTTCTTTATGTATAGAAATGGTTATTATTATTATATATAGCGAATAATGAATATATCGACAAATGACTGGCACCATTTGTATTTCGGTATTTCGGTACTTAAGTTTGGGATATCAAGTATTACGGGGTTATCCAAATTACCGGTAAATGCGCTAATTTCTTGAGTCATCTTCATTTAACACGTGACCTATTTAAACAAAGGCAGCTTAAATTGATCTACGGCATGATACGGCATTTCAAATTCACTCTAAAATATTCCAATCACAAATGTCTAATCTATACCAATGAAAGACGATAATTCGGTGATTATGATTAGACCAGTCACGTGGTAATTGGACCGTCAATAGACGCTTGTCCAGTTGCCGTGTGTATTGATAGTGCTATATTGTACATACAGTGAGATATTGTATAAATAATGTATATACTATGTGTAGTGCCTGTGACGTCACCAGCCAATCAACCGGATTAAGGTCGTAATTGACAAATCGAAAAGCGTTTTGGCGTGTCGGATACTTAAACATTAAAAGCGGACTTAATTTTAATCAGATTGGTGTGAACTTGCCGTAAAGTTGATATAGTAACCATGGGCTATACATAGATGCAATTTAGATTTTTGATCTTACGTGGTCTTTCATTTAATTTAATCCTTTTATTGTCTTTTTCAGGCTCGCCCAAAACGTTTGTCACGTCAATAACTATGTGTGCCGCTCAGCTTTCTAAAATGAATAACAAATATTCTAGAAGGGCGAATCTCTACAAACTCCCTACACGGCCCGAAATACGGTAAGATATTTAATAAAATGAAATAAAATAAGGTTTAACGTCTTACTGTTCTGCTCCGACTGTGCTAATGAAGACGCGCATACGCCTTACATTGGGTTATGAGGGAAATTTTGCCCGGGCAGCGGCACTATGCCCTACTCTTATATTGAATTCCAATTGCCAAGGGATCTTTTACGTGTACGGCAATGTATACACAGGGCCTCGGTTTTTCGTCCTATCCGAACGACTAGACAGTTCTCCTTGTCAAGCCCTCCTTCCATCACCAATGCAGAGATATTTCTGTTGCACATATTTTGTGTGATTAATTCTAATACTCAAGTACATTTTGCCCGGACAGCGTCGTTTAGCCTACTCTATTCTTCTCTAAATAGTTCTTTAACAAATCCTCAAAATAAATCAATTTTTGAATGGATTAATTTGAATATGGAAAAATAATCAGCTTAGAAATCATCAAATTTACACAAATTAACCCTGCTATTTAATTAATATTCTTATATTCAAGATTATATGTTTTTAATGTTACGGGGCAATGGAATGTGTTAATGCCTGGGTATGTGTCTGGGTTTACCAAAGATGGCTTTACACACATGAGACTCTCCACCAGACTGGCCAGGGTCGTGACGAATTCGCTTCTCGTCTAACATGGAGACAAACCATTAGTAAATCCCTCTCCGCCATCGTTTGATGGAATCAAATCATTAAACTGACATTACTATTTTTTGTAGCCAAAGATTTACATCACAAGCTGGATCTCCATGTCCCAACACTGGTCGTTTATTCCGTACAGCTGATGGTTTCTGTAATAATATTCGCAGACCGTCCCTAGGACAATCATTTGAACGATTTAAACGATTTGTTCGCTCAAACTACAATGATAGTAAGTATTATAAATAACTATCAACTATCGGGGTTTGTTACTTATATATGGGTCATTAACTATCGTGATTTGTTCCTTATACATGGGTCATTAACTATCGTGTTTTGTTCTTTATACATGCGTCATTAACTATCGTGTTTTGTTCTTTATACATGGGTCATTAACTATCGTAGTTTTGTTCTTTATACATGGGTCATTAACTATCGTGGTTTATTCCTTATATACATTAACTATCGTGGTTTGTTCCTTATGCATGGGTCATTAACTATCGATTATCCACCAGCGCTGCCAAGTTAATGAAAGATCTGCTCTATATCTTCCAACACTCGCGACTTGGCTCTGAATAAAGTAATTAGAATTAAATTTTCAATATATTGATTCTTCTATGGCCTATATTGGAACCCTGGTAACAAGAATGGTCAACTCATAATGCACCTTTATGTATTATAAATAACTATTAACTATCTCTGTTGAGATCGGACCCGGATCCTTGAGGGGGTGTTGGATGGCCGAATGGTTAGCACGTTCGCGCTAAAGTCTGTCATTGAATCAACTGGCGTGGTTAGGATTTCCTAGTTTCCTCCCACTGCTAAAGATTCCCTAAGAGCAAGCGAATTATTGAAAACAAATTAAACCATATATTTGTTCCGGAATGACCTAGTTTGTGTCGAGAGGACGTTAAACCCCATTTCTCTTTCTCTCTCTGAATCTTTGAGATATGTATTGTATTGATAGCATGCATATCTACCATTTTTCTTGCAAAAATGTCAACAAATTGATTTGTTATTAATAGGAAAGGGTTCACCAAGAATATTTGGACGGTGTCGAAGAGTCGGAAGAAGGTGGTGTTCCAGAAGATTATTACCAAGTGCTAGGACTGTCAGTACCGTCGTACACCCGGAAGTCAAGACACAATCAATTGGTACAGTCATGCGCATGCAGTGGGGACAATTCTTAGATCATGATTTTACTGCTGCGGCTGTAGAACAACGTAAGTGTATCCACACTCTGATATCTTTATACTTCTTAACTCATACAGGGAGACACGATTCCTGACACAAGAGAGAGAGAGAGAGACAGACAGACAGAAAGACAGAAAGAGAGAGAGAAAGAGAGAGAGAGAGAGAGTTTAACGTCCACTCGACACAAACATTTCGGGACTAACATATATGGTTCAATTTGATTTCAATAATTCGCTTGCTCGTAGGGGGTCTTTAGCAGTGGGAGGAGGACACGGAGAAAACCCACGACATTGGACAGGAGATCAGACTCCTTGTCACGAACAACCGGGGAATCGAAACCACACCAGTTGACTCAATGACAGACATTATGATACAGTAATTCAGCCATCCAACCCCGCCAGTGAGTAAGGAAAGGCTACCCTAACCTAGAGGTTCCGCGTTTGATCTCTGTGTTGGCCGAAAAAGCTCATCGTAATTTTCCGGCGTGGTTCCCCCTTTTCAGTGGTGCAAGACAGGGGACAACGTATAGTCATTCGGATGGGACGAAAAACCGAGGTCCTGTGTACACAATAGACGGGCATACGCCATACAGTGTGCTATGAGCACAATTTTGCCCGGCCAGCGCCACAATGGTCTCTTCTTATATCGAATTCTAACTGCCAAGGAATTATTTACGTGTACGCCAATGTATACACGATTTTTCGTCCCATCCGAACGACTACACACTAGCTGTCCTTGTTAGGCCCTCCGTGCTGCACGACTGACAAGGGGAAACCACGACGGAAAATCACGATGAAATATCTCGGTAAATGCAGGGATCGAACACGCGACGTCCAGACTAGCGAGCCAGCGTGTTACCCACTTAACCATGCAATATAATATTATATTATATTATATTATATTATATTATATTATATTATATTATATTATTATTTAATTAGCCGAATCGCCGAGAACCTGTTGTGACCAAGCCGCCAGTGACTCTACAATCTTTAGAGGGTAAGTATCATAAGTTATAACATTTACAGGATGGACACACTCAAACAGTCTAAAGATACTACAAACACAAACAAACACACACAAATCAGTCCAAAATCATACATGTGCGTGACAAAATAAAGGTGGAATTCAAGTAGCACCGTTGTTCAGATAAAACAAATTCTCTCAAAGCATACTGTATGGTGTATATCTGCCTTTATTACCCCAGTCGGTGCAGAAAAGTAGGACGTTAAACCCCATTTCATTTCAATTTATATAATTCATCAATGCATGTTACATACATAATGTATAACCTTAAATCCCATCCTTTAACTTAAACATACATTATACAAGAGCTAAATCCGCCTATTGCAGGTCTTTATTTAGGCCCGAAATGTTATATAAACTATTAATAAGACATTTATTAATAAAACAAGACCATAATCGACTCTAGATGTCATCGGATACTCGAGATTTTAACTAGATTAAAACGGTTCGCCATTTGAAAAGTCCCGATTATACTTGTCAAAACTACAAACAATGATAACTTGGCAGAGAATGAAGTAATTCGAATGAAATTTTCAATATTTTCTTTTTTTATCATCTATTTTCGAATTATTATAGCAAGAATGACCAACTCTTCATTAAACTCTGTGTCTTTAATGGAGATCTATAATGTAATGTGATCTGTTGTTTCAGCACGGACGACTGTTTCCCCATACAGATTCCCCAGACGCCTGTACCAGATCGATTTTTCACACAAACATGTCTGGAGTTGGTTCGATCACGAGCCATTGATGTTAACTTTAGTAAGTTATTCCATGAGTTGAGTAATCTGGGTATAAGATGGGTTGAGTAATCTGGGTATAAGATGGGTTGAGTAATCTGGGTATAAGATGGGTTGAGTAATCTGGGTATAAGATGGGTTGAGTAATCTGGGTATAAGATGGGTTGAGTAATCTGAGCATAAGATGGGTTGAGTAATCGGGGTATAAGATGGGTTGAGTAATCTGGGTATAAGATTGGTTGGGTAATCTGGGTATAAGATGGGTTGGGTAATCTGGGTATAAGATGGGTTGGGTAATCTGGGTATAAGATGGGTTGGGTAATCTGGGTATAAGATTGGTTGAGTAATCTAGGTATCAAATGGGTTGTGCCGATGAAACGGGCAGTCATAGACTTGTTCGGGTATCTGGGGCATTGGATCGGATAGCTGGTGGATCTTATGGTTCTCGTTGTTGATCAATCAGTTATGCAAGCTAGGAGTTCAGTCCCAAAACTGGGAATATCGTCAAACGTCGACCACCGACCTGGACCCAGCACCTGGTTATTGAAATAATGATACATCATTTCTTTTTTGTGTACGCCCATTGAATGTGTAGAAACCGAGTTGGTGTGTTAATTTTACAATTTGATTTTAGCTCGACGCAATCCACGAGAACAACAGAATTTATTGACAGCTTTTGTGGATGCTTCCAATGTTTATGGCAGTGACCAGGAAACACAGGATCGTCTACGAGGAGTTAACGGTAAGGATAATATCTCTTCTAGCTCTCACGTGGAGTTCGCGGTAAGGATAATATCTGTTCTAGCTCTCACGTGGAGTTAATGGTAAGGATAATAACTGTTCTTGCTCTCACGAGGAATTAACTGTAACGATAATATCTGTTCTAGCTCTCACTTAGAGTTAATGGTAAGGATAATATCTGTTCTAGCTCTCACTTAGAGTTAATGGTAAGGATAATATCTATTCTAGCTCTCACTTAGAGTTAATGGTAAGGATAATATCTGTTCTAGCTCTCACTTTTAAAACGGAGTTAAACCCTTAAGACCCGAGATATCTGCAATGGGCAGATTTAGCTCTTACATAATGCATCTTTAACATATTACTGAACGAATATACATGTTCCGCCCAGTTCACACGACATGTAAACAGTGGTCTGTTTGATATTTAATATACATGATCCGCCCAGTTCACATGTAAACAGTGGTCTGTTTGATATTTAACAGGACGTATGAAGACATCGGCTGGTGATTTATTACCACGAGGTAGAGATGAAGATTGTATACGAGGACCTAATGCTCCATTCTGTTTCGATGCTGGTGAGTTGTCTTTCTTAGCTCAGTCTGATTAAAACACAGACCCAATTTCGTTTCGTTTTTTATAGTTCAAAATTTCATTTTACTTGTCCTTACTACACTAGGATCTGGAAGAGTTATTATCATTGACGTGTTCTGGATGGTGTGAGGGATTAGCCATTTAAACGGTCTGTTACGGCGAGCTTTAGGTGTGTTTTGCACGGAAATGTGGGTAATCCACTAGTAACATCAATGCTGATTAGTTAAGCAAATATCTGACGTCATAGGGTCAAAATCCGCTCGTATGACCTCTGAAGCAACCTATCACTACAACCAGTCAGATCTTCATGTAGTGTAGGCCATCGAAAGTATAAAAAAAAACGAAACGAAATATAGATCTGTATTTGAATCAGACTGATCTTAGCTAATTATCGTTCCTTTGATTTGAAGATGAGAGATTGACCGACGGCCTTCTGTAAATGCCAATAATCACAGCATACGTTATCATGCGCGTGTCAAGACTATCACATGATCCCTCAAAATGGCGATTCCCTCATTCCGCCATATTGCCGTCCCGTTAATCAATAAAAGTGGACTATAAGAAAACCAAGGAACTTCTTGTCCGGAACTATTTATTTAGGGGACATTTTTCAAATTCGAAAAATTTCAGGTATTTGTGTTGATATCTACACTTCGTAATAGCCTTACCGGAAGTACAGTAAGTACCGCAATGTACCGAATAATCCCGAGTTGTGTTATTACTATATTATCATTATGTTTATTGTAACAGTGACTCGTGAGTAGGATGTTGAATCGCTAACTTGTCGGTCCCGTATTCAATCCCGATGTTGACCGAGAGAGTTGTCCCCCTTTTGTCAGTGGTGCTGGGGGATGTACTGACAATGGATAACATAAAAGAACCCTTGACAGTTAGACATTAAAACGATTGTTTTCATTCCATTTGAAAGAAAGTTGTTTATGCTATTACAGGTGATGAACGAGTGCACGTGTTCCCGGGTTTGACGGCTTTACACACGCTCTTTGTGAGAATCCATAACTACATTGTAGAAGATCTAACCCAACATAATGCCAAGTGGAATGGAGAAAGATTATTTCAGGAAACCAGAAAAATTATCAGCGCCATTATGCAGGTGAGTAAACGAACCTTAAAGGTCACCGGAAAAGCATCATTTTTTTTTAAAAATAATGCAAGTAATTATGTCAACATATCCTTTCCAGAACTATAACCCGAACCTGAATGTCAATATTACCTGCATTAGACAGGTAAATTTCAACATTAGTAATTTCCGCCGTTCTCCGTGGGTAGTCGTAACTTTCCATCCATAAGCAATCCATGACGTCATTGTAGTCCTTCTGCACATAGAAATATAGACTAGAATATGAGCAAAAGGACTAAAATGACGTCACAGATTGTTTATTTAAGGAAAGTTACGACCACCCACGGAGAATGGCAGAAATTACTAATGTTGAAATTTACCTGTTGTAGGTAATATTGACATTCAGGTTCGGGTTATACTCATTTTACGTGGACGTTATTCAGTACTAGGACTTGCCATAGATTGTTCGACTGGGTTGTCTTGCGTAACAAGGAACTTGATTTATAATTTTGATTTTATTTTGGTTTTCGGTTTTTTTTTCAGAGAATTACTTATTTAGAATTTGTCCCCGAAGTATTGTCGGAATCGACCATTAAGAAATTCGACCTGGATGAAGGAAACTTTAAATACGATATCACAAGAGACCCAAGCATAGCGAATGTTTTCGCCACGGCAGTGTTTAGATATGGTCACTCTCTTATTCCTAATTTCTTGGTAATCGACGGCAAACAGGTCTTGTCACGACAGCTCTTCAACAACCCAGAGTTCATCTTCACCAGCTTGACATCCCTGGTGGAGAATCTGGTCTCTAATCCGGCGGAACTGCGGGATCGTTTCTTGACGGAGGAAATCACGGATCATCTGTTTGAAACGGCTGCAGGAAGTTTTGATTTGGCTGCTTTCAATATTCAGAGAGGTCGAGATCATGGTTTACCACCGTACAACTGGTTCCGGCGATTCTGTCGTCTGCCTAGAGTCACATCCTTCTCATCTCCGGTTTTTGGTAATGGCGGACCTTTCCTCGCAAAAGTCTACGAGTAAGTAGAAATCACCAAAATAGTAATTGCTTCCCCAGGGTAGTGGTGGTGGTGGAATGGTCGTGGTTTCGATTCCTGGTGTCAGCGTTTGCGACTTGGAGATCGGGGCGACTTCTCAGCCTCGTGGGTTTATTCCTGTTCCTCCCACAGATAATAAGAATAATACAACTTGTTTGTGATATCGCCATCGGCTTCCCGAGGGAGAAGAGTTACTTCCCTTATCTCGCTATACCACGGAATATTGTGTATACAGCCAGGGGCGCACAACAGGGGGTGGGGGTGGAAAGGTCAACATCTCCCCGTTGAGCTTAGTCCAGATAGGCAAATGGACCGGTTATTTTGCCCAGTGGGTCGGTCTGTTCGGGAAAATCATTGAATTTTACACATTCAGTGAAACCAAAATAAGGCCTACAAATCAATATGTAACTGGGACATTTAAAAAGTACATAATTATTTGTTGACCTAACTGGTATTAAAAAAAAGGATTTTCTAAGACTTAGTGAGCAATTTTTTCTGGCGCACCCCACCCCCAACAGGGAAAATATGACTGTTCGAACCTGTGAGCAATTCTCTCTTTCCCCTCTCCCCACCCCCCCGCCTCCTTTGAATGGCATTTGTGTTGATCTTTTGGTCTAGATTCGAAGAAGAGTGTTTGAATTTCCATTTTCGGCCAGATTTTGGTGAATGTTCATGATTTTGATGAATATTCGTGATTTTGGTGAATATTCATGATTTTTAATATTCATGATTTTGGTGACTATTAATGATTTTGGTGAATTTTCATGATTTTGATATCATTTTCTATAGATCCCTTTCAACAGGTCATCAGGCCTAGCAAAACATCGAACTGACCCCCCCCCCCCCACGTCAATATTGGTCTGAAACCATCGAATATATAAAGGGTTGTCGTTCCTGATGATTTGTTAAAGTAACTATGGAGTTGTTGTTTGAAATGTATAATTATTTTACAGGCACGTCAATGATATTGATGTTTTTGCTGGGGGTATGGTAGAGCTAAGTGAACCGGGGTCTACACTTGGTCCTCTCTTCTCCTGTCTTATGGCCAGACAATTCCGAGATTTGAAATTTGGAGACAGTTTTTGGTATGAAACTAGAGACAGGCGGCGTGGATTCAGTGCTGGTGAGTCAAATATACAAAATATATAGCCGGATCTAAAACATAGTGTCATTGCAAATCGTCAAATGTCGGGGAAAACTGTCCAGTTAAACACAGGCAGAGAAAACAATGTACAAACCAGTGAAATCAAATTCAAATAAAAAATGAAAATAAAAATGAAAATGAAAATAAAAAATGAATGTCACAGTGAAAATAAAAAATGAACAACTCTTTCAGATCTTAGTGTAGTGAAGACAAGTAAAACGAAATTTTGTACTATAAAAAAAAACGAAACGAAATAGGATCTGTGTTTTAAACAGATTGCAGAAAAACAGGGCTTTATTTCTATATCGATATATTATATTCCCTAACACATGTTACATACATGTACATATATAAGTTAAAACTCGTAATCTCCTTGTTCTTACAGCTCAACGGCGATCTATCGGACGTGTTACTTTGTCACAGCTTGTATGTCAAGGTGGTTTTGGTTTGAAGAGTGTTCAGAGGAATCCATTCAAAGTCGTCCGAGCAGGGTAAGTCTATATTATAGAAGATTAGATAAAGAGCTGGCAGTTCTCGTATAATAGTTAAAAACTAGATAACGTAAAGCGAATTTGCTAAAAAATTTCAGTCGAATTGCTCAACGATGAACTGAGATATTAGATTTTGAATTTCAGGCTAGCCTCGATCATCATTACTAAAATCTGTACGATAAAAAACAATGTCTAGATGGCTCATTTTTACGTTTAATCATCCTTCACAAAATGGATTCCAATCCGCTAAATATCACAGACTTACGATGGCATCGAAAGTTGATTTTGGTCTGGATATGTTAATTTATGTCTAATTAAACATACATTATGCAAGAGCTAAATCTGTCTATTGCAGGCCTTTCTTTAGCCCATGAGCGTCATTTGCATTGTTCTGAAAAATATCAGACTTTATCAACGCTAAATTGCAATCAGGATAGCGCCTGGGGGACTGACAATGGCATTATTTCTAGGGTGGGACGAAAACTGAACAGGTTCCCATGGGGTGGCGCCGGGAGGACTGACCATGATATGGTGTCTAGTCCTTTGGATGGTACGAAAAACTGACCTAGGTTTCCGAGTGCTCAAGAAATTGTGTCTAGTCGTTAGGGTAGGGCGAAACCCGAACCTGTTTCCATGGGGTTCCACCGGGAGGATTGATCATATGGTGTCTAGTCCTTTGGATGATACGAAGAATCGATCAGGGTTCCCACGAGTTTCCGCAAAGGACCGGTGTATGTATAAGGGTGGACGTAAAAGAAGGTCAAGTCGTTTGGGTAGGACGTAAAAGAAAGTCTAAGTCGTTAGAGTAGGACGTAAAATAAGGTAATTCCTCCCTAGTATTTCACACGAGACCACAGAAAAATATAACCGCGTGTTAGTCCCATAATAACCAAAATATTATGTTGAGACGAGACGATAATTCTTATAATATCGTCAATAGATAAATATTATCTGTGGTTATAAATGTATGTTTGACCAATTTAGGAGCCACAGTGGCTAAGTGGGTAAGACGCTGGCTCACTAGCCTGGAGGTCGCGTGTTCGATTCCTGCATTGGCCGAGAAAGTTTATCGGGTTTTTCCAGCATGGTTTTCCCCTTGTCAGTGGTGCAGGACCGAGGGCCTGACAAGGACAGCAGTCTAGTCGTTTGTGTGGTACGAAAAACCGAGGCCCCGTGTATACATGGACGTGTACGTTAAAGATCCCTTGGCAGTCATAATTCGATATAACAGTAGGCCATATTTCCGCTGCCCGGGCAAAATTTCCTTCATTAGCCCAGTCGTAGCTGAAGAGTAGGACGTCCATTTCATTTCTTTACTCAGACAGTAATTGTGATAATATAATTAGTAGATGAACATTATCCGAGGTTATAAATATATGTTTATTTGTATTTTGTAGAAATCTTAAAGTTGACTGTAGCAGGTTTCCAAAAATTGATCTGTCTCCGTGGTACGAGCATTAAACACCTGAACAGGTACACAACACCTGAACAGGTAAACAACACCTGAGCAGGTATACAACACCTGAACAGGTATACAACACCTGAACAGGTAGACAATACTACCGACAGAAAAACAACACCTATTGTTCGAGACTTGAGAGAAAAACAACCATTGTTCGAGACTTGTCTTCAGAGAGAAAAAAATCAAACTTTGTAAATTATAATTGATTGATTGATTAATTTATTTGATTTGTTTATTTAACTGTTTTTTTTTTGTGAAAATGAAAGTTGTATTATAGGCGAGTAATTCTTATATTAATACACTAACACTATTTATGGAATAACAATTACTGGTTTATTAACATGCAACGTTTCGACGATGATACGCTCGTCTTTATCAAGCAAATGATGACATCATCGTCGAAACGTTGCATGTTAATAAACCAGTAATTGTTATTCTATAAATAGTGTTAGTGTGTTACTGTTCAATTACTAAATGTCACTTAAACAAGTTCTTATATTAATGGTTTGGCTGCTTTATATTTTTGTTTAATTTTTTAAAATTATGTTTTAATAATTGAAATATTTATTTTTGTAAGAAAATTTTTGCATCACTTACAGTATTATCTTTATCTTTGACAAATGGGTGGTCGAGAGAGAGAGAGAGAGAGAGAGAGAGAGAGAGAGAGAGGGAGAGAATAGGGTTTAACGTCCACTCTACACAAACTAGGTCATTTCGGAACTAACATATGGTTTAATTTTATTTACAGAATTCGCTTGCATGTAGGGGTCTTTAGCAGTGGGAGGAAACCGGAGGCCCCGGAGAAAACCCACGAGGTTGGACAGGCGACCCTACTCCTTGCCACGTACAACCGGGGATTCGAAACCATGCTAGTTGACTCAATGACAGAAATGAGTGGTCGAGTGGTTTAACACATTCACATGACGCAATCTGATTAAAACACAGATCCTATTTCGTTTCGTTTTTTTTATAGTTCAAAAATTCGTTTTACTAGTCTTTACTACACTAGGATCTGTAAGAGTTGTTATATAACCTGTGTTTCGGTTGAAGTGAGGGATTAGCCAATGAAACTGTCATTTGCAGCGAGTTCTTCGCGTGCGATGTACGGAACTGTGGGTATCGTACTAGAAACATCAACGCTGATTGGTTAATCAAATGTCTGACGTCATAGGGTCAAAAGCCGCTCATATGACCGCTGAGATGACCTCGCACTACAACTTGTCAGATCTTTGTGTAGTAGGGGCTATCGAAGGTATAAAAAACGAAACGAAATATAGATATGTATTTTAAACAGATTGTCAAATGACGTGATTTAGATTTCCCGCTTTATACTTTAAAAAGAGTGGGGTCGTCTGTCCAACATCGTGGGGGTTTTCAGACCCCCCCCCCAACAAAAACCATACGCTCATGAAATAGAATTGAACCATATATTAGTCCCGAAATAACCTAGACATTAAACCCCATCGTTGACATCTAATCTGACCTCTTCTCTTGATCTGGAGAGTAACTTTGGCCTTTGTTCCCCGACCTCCTTGCACAGTGAAGATGGCCTTCAATTTGAAACGTTAGTCTACGAATCACGCGGACATACTATACGCCCATATGTAGCTTGAGAAAGGCTACAGATACAGGCAAGTAATTAGCACAAATACATTAATGGTTTTACCCTTATCGGAAGTGGGCGTAATCATAGGCATATCAGACTGAAGCCTAAAGCCGCTTGATCTAGGGGGCCTCATTCGAACGTAGTATTTTTGACATTCCTCATCATTATCGACTTTGCTTAATGGTGTTTAAAACATACGTTGATCTTCCTCTTACAGTAAAAGTTGGAGATGAGATGGAGGAGGGGCTCATGATTCCGATACTGCGAAAATAATAGTACAACATGGTTGCTGAAATGGAATGAAATGAAATGGGGTTTAATGTCCTACTGTTCTACTCCGAACTGGGCTAATGAAAACGGGCATACGCCATACTGTATGCTATGAGGAAAATTTTTCCCGGACAGCGGCACCCTTGGTCTTCTTTTATATCGAATTCCAACTGTCAAGGGGTCCGTTACGTACACGCCAATGTGTACACAACCTCGGTTTTTATTCTCAGCCGAACGACTCTACGTTGTCCTGCACCACTGAGAAGCGGGAACCAAGTCGGAAAGTCCTGTATGGAATTTCTCGACCAACACAAGGATCGAACACGGACCTCTAGGTTAGCGAGTCAGCGTCCACTCACTGAGCCGTGCGATTATAACCAACACGTTCAAATATATTAAAGGGGCATGCATTATAGGAGATTAGATACAGAGTTGACAGTTCTGGCTATAATAGTTTAAAAAATAGATAACATAAATAGAATATGCTGAATATTTCAGTCAAATTCCTCCACTCTGAACCGAGATATTAGCCATTGAATTGTAGGCTATTCTCGATCATCATTACTAAAGTCGGTACGATAAAAAAAACAAAGTCTCGGTTATCCATAATGTATGTTTAATGATTTTATTACAAACAAAAACTAAAACGGAGAACTATCCAACCATAAACATGCAGTGACGTTAGACACTCGGTAATCTCTGTTAAAACATTATTGGTGGGCCGAGTTAACAATCCCACCTTAAACATGCAGTGTTAGACACTCGGTAATCTCCGTTAAAATATTATTGGTGGGCCGAGTTAACAATCCCACCTTAAACATGCAGTGTTAGACATCCGGTAATCTCCGTTAAAAAATAATTGGGGGGCCGAGTTAACAATTCCACCTTAAACATGCAGTGTTAGACACTCGGTAATCTCCGTTAAAAATTAAGGGTGGGCCGAGTTTTGGCAGTAATCTACATGATATATGTATAAACGGTGTTAAATTAAAATAGCGATTCACATAACCGCTTCCTTTGGCAAAAATGAAACGGTACTGTCGTATTACTGAACAATCGAAACAAAACAAATGGTTAACCCCTGTGCGGTTGATCATAAGGTGAGTCAACTGGCGTGGTTTCGATTCCCCGCTTGTACGTGACAAGGAGTAGGGTCGTCTTCCAGCCTCGTTGGTTTTTTCCGGGTTCATCAGTTTCCTCCCATTGTTTAAGACCCCTGCGTGCAAGCGAATTATTGAAATAAAATTGAACCATGTATTAGTCCCGAAATGACCTAGTTTGTGTCGAATGGATATTAAACCCCAATTAGAGTTAACACTGATTTAGATAAAGAGCTGGACATCCTACCTATAATAGTTAAATAAAAGATAATGAAAGGTGGATATATTGAAAATTCCAGTCAAATTCAACAACATTTTGAGCAAAATCAGAGCTATTTGGAGAATGGCAGAATCTCGATTGTCATTGCTACCGTTGTTACGATAGTAAACAAAGTCTCGATTATTCATTTTTTAATCAAATCATTAACTGCCAATCGTTTTGAATCTTTTGAAAATCAAGAGCATCAAATGACCTAGAGAGTTGTCATGGACTTATTATGTTAATAAATGTCTAAACAATAATTTATATAACTTATAAGGCATACAGACATAAAGATTACAATAGGCAGCTTTAGCTCTTACATAATGCATCTTTAAGCAACAATCGACAACCTATAATTTTTTACAGAATTATTTTCAATTCCAAGCCGCTTGGTTATCAACCATTGATATTTTTAAACATACATTATGCAAGAATTAAATCTGCCTATTGCAGGTCTTTCGTTAGGCCTGAAATGTTATCTAAATTATTAATTAGACATTAATTAACCTAGACCATAATCAACTCTCGATACCATCTTATGAGTCCTATTTTTTTTCATAGGATTTGAATCCGATCTGCCATTCAACGTCCATTGATGATTAAACGTAAAGATGGATAATCAAGAAAACTTTGATGAATTATCGTGACAGTGATATTAACGACAATCGAGGCTACAGAGATTCTAAAATAAGGTTTTATCGAATTAGAATGAAGATATTTCCTTTACATTATCTAGTTTTTAACTATTATAGTGAGAACTACCAGCTCTTTATCTAATCTCCCATAATGTATTTTTAATTTTGTTTTCTTATGTTGTAAATTAAGCCATGAATAAACTGGATATAGTCCGAAAATTATAAATGGCGGTCGGGGATTTTCTTAATTTATCTTTTACGAAATAGTCGTCGTCGTCGTTCATTTGTAGGGGGTGGTGGAGGGGGTGGTGACGTCTCTCCGTTTAATGCATTCAGGAGATCTTGCTGTCCATCTGGAGGTGGAGGGTTGTTGGGTATACTGCGGCTTACAGGTCCATTAGGGTTTCTAGGCCTATCACCTTGATTTAGGCGGAATGGACGTTGAATACGTGGTTCGGTTTGTGTTGGGGCGACTTCCGCTACTTGGTTGCTAGGTTCGACGTGGTCGATCAAAACATCTAGGTCAAAATCAGCAATTTCATCGCAGGGTACGCGTCCATTACTGTAAATATAAACAAATAAAAACATGAGATAAAGCCAAGAGTAAGTTGTGCTATAATATAGAAAGTGCCAGGGGTTCTGTTATATTCACATCATGTGTACACAGTACCTCGGTTTTTCGTTCCATCCGAAGGACTATACGGCCAACACGGGTCCTCCTAGTGGGGGAACCTACTGTCTGTGTGATGACACTCTGTCCATTATTTTTAATTCATTTATATAAAAGTTCCACCACTCGTTTGTTCAAAATGTGTGGCCGACGTCTGTATGGAAAACCGCTGTGGGTCGGTGAGTAACCAGGGGAGTGTGAAAATAATTGATCTAGTGCTGTGTGTAGAATTGTGTGCATACAGTAGCCACTAAAGGCTCAAGGGAATTGCCTTCCATGGGTGTCCTTTTACTAGGGGTGATCTATTAATAAAATCTCAAGTCAAATGTTATGTATCGATGCATCTGGAGCAAACATCGATGCTCTTATCGCTGCATCGGTAAATTTTGCAGTCCCGGACACTCGCTATCGGAACGAAATTTCCTTGACACTGCATCGGTAAATTTGGCAGTCCCCGACACTCGCTATTAGATACGAAATTTTCTTGACTGAAAGCTCTGATATAATTCTATATGGCCTACCATTCATTGTATTGTATTCGATAATATTTATCTATTTTAGTGAAGAAAGAAAAATTCATGTATTGTCAGCGATTTTCAGGGGACGTAACTCTATAGGGAGGCAGAACATCATTAATTTCCCCATTTATTCCAGCTTTTCCCCAAATTTTGGTTGGGTTGAATGCTTGTCACTACAGACAGAGAAACAAATGGCCACGTCTCTATAGAGAGAGAGTGTATCAATAGGCGAACTGCAATTTGAACCGAGATTGTGAAATTTAATGGTAGTCTGCATCCGTATTGTTAGTGTAACTTACCCCTCTGGTCGTGCCGGTATAAGTACGAATGGTTGAATCCGGTTAAACCCACCAACAGTATTACATAAAACTCGAGATAAAAATATCTTCTTGATTTCTGCCAGCTGGTCTGCAATGTTAATAAATACGTAATTGTATTACCAATATTTGACATGAAATGAGATTGTTACATCTTACTTTGTTTTCCCATTCGAATAACTAGATGCCTTCTGATACCAGACCAAGTGATCAGGGAAAATCAACCTAAACCGGAAGCTTATGGTTAGTGGTTTTCCGATTTGACAAAAATGAGGTTTAACGTCCTACTCTTCTGCTCCGACCGGGCTAATGAAGACGGGCATACGCCATACATTGTTTAATGTGAGAAATTTTGTCCAGGCAGCGGCACTATGGCCTACTTTTATAACGAAATCCAACAGCATAGGGATCTTTTACGTGCACGCCAATTTAAACACCAAACCTCGGTTTTTTCGTCCCATCCGAACGACTAGACAACTTGTCCTTGGGGAAACTACGTCGGAAAATCCCGATAAACATTCTCGGTCAATGCAGGGATCGAACACGCGACCTCCAGGCTAGCGAGCCAGCGTCTACCCATTTAGCCACAGTGGATCCATTTGACATAAAACATTTTATTTCTAATTGTTTTCATATATCAAACCTTATTAACCTCGAAATTAGGAAATTCACAGAGTTGCCGTTTTAGCTATACTAGTTCCAAAATAGATAATGCAAAATGAATATATTGAAAATGTCATTCAAATTACTTTATTCTAAGTGTAGTTATAACTTTTTGTTGGTTTGACAAGATGTGTGCATTGATTGTTTTGATTCTAACCACAATACTTGTTATTCTATACTTAGCTTCCACATTTTCAAATTAAATCATTAAACGACTGAAGCGTTGGACAGGCGGCACTATTTCTTGTCACGCCTTGTCACGTACAACCGGGGAATCGAAACCGCACCAGTTGACGCAGTGACCGACCTTATGATACAGAGGGCGCGTGCTAACCATTCGGCCATCCCACCCCCCAATCTACTTAGAATCGGAGCCATCCCATCGATGATCTTGAGAATTGATTATGGGCTTGTCATGTTAATAAAATTCTAAATAATAATTCATATAACATCTGTTGGGGTTAAGGTCCGCTTTTACCTAGGGATATCCCAGACACATTAAATAAGCTACCTATTTTATAGGCTGTTTGAACCCATTTCACAGTTTGCGATATTCCCCCAAGTGGAAGCGAGCATGCACCATTATGAAGTTGCTATGTTTAACGGAGGAAACATAGAGGTAGCTAGTGTAGATGTAAACAGCCGATAACTAGGGGACGCAGGGGGTGACTAGGGGACGCAGGGGGGTGGGGTGGGGGTAAACAATAAAAAAATAGATATCTATTGTCCGCAAATTTTACCACACCCCCGGGAAGACTTTCCGTCCCCCTCGTTGCTCTGAGCTAGTTACGGCCCTGCAGCACACCCAAATGCATTAATGGTTTTAGCAGAAATAGGCGTATACCCAATTTATGTCACTAACATAAGTAATTTATGTCACTAACATAAGTAATTTATGTCATATAATGCGTAAGTAATTCATGTTACTTAATTCGTGTTATTCGTGTTACTTACATAAGTAATTCGTGGTATTTACATAAGTAATTCATTACCTACATAAGTAATTCATTACTTACATAAGTAATTCATTACTTACATAAGTAATTCATTACTTACATAAGTAATTCATTACTTACATAAGTAATTCATTACTTACATAAGTAATTCATTACTTACATAAGTAATTCATTACTTACATAAGTAATTCGTGTTATTTGTGTTGCTTACATAAGTAATTCGTGTTATTTACATAAGTAATTCGTGTTATTCGTGTTACTTACATAAGTAATTCGTGTTACTTACATAAGTAATTCGTGTTACTTACATAAGTAATTCGTGTTACTAACATAAGTAATTTACATAAGTAATTTGTGTTACTAACATAAGTAATTTGTGTTATGTCCATAAGTGATTAGTGTTACGTACGTAAGTAATTCATGTTACGTACATAAGTAATTTATGTTACGTACATAAGTAATCTAAGTTAGTAACTTGATTTGAATAAATTATTAAATATCTACCTGGTGTAAATCCTCTACGAACATCACTAGTTTCATACCAGAAACTGTCACCGAATTTTAAATTGTGAAATTGTTTTCCGATAATACAACTAAAAGTTTCCCCAACAGATCCTCGGTTGATTCGTCTTTCCGCCACCCCTCCAGTAAATAAATCTATATCATCAACACTCCTGTAATTTGAAGTAGAATTATCGAGTTTTTTTTATCAAGAAATGTTTCCAGTAAGAAATAGTAATTGCATTCTATAGAATCGTGCCCTGTGTAACTATTTTCGGTTGTAATTGGCCTTTCCGTCGACTCCGCCCACAATAGGTCTTTGACTAATCAACTCCGATTACAGTTTCCCGCGAAATGTTGTCTAAGGTGACGTCATTATAAAAAGTGGGAGGAGCTACAGGTCTCTGACGGAAAGTTCAATTATATTCTATTTTAAATACAATAAAATTTATACCAGTCTTGGTGTTCACACACTGGCATGTAGATGGGTTGGGCGGGGGGGGGGGGGTGTTTACATAATATTAAGTAGCTGTGTTGCTTTATAGCTGTAAGTTGGAGATACGATCAGTCCAGCTGATGTCATATGTATAATGGTCAAGCTAGATAAACCGTTGACCGCTAGTTTACAGAGAGAGAGAGAGAGAGAGGGAGAGAGAGAGAGAGAGAGAGGGGGGAGAGACAGAGATAGGGTTTAACCTCCAGTCGACACAAACTAGGTCATTTCAAGACTAACATATGGTTCCATTTTATTTCAATAATTCGCTTGCACGTAGGGGTCTTTAGCAGACCTTATGATACAACGCGCACGTGCTAAGCATTCGGCCACCGCCCCCTCCCCATCCCCAGTTGTGTTTACAATGAATGTATTATTATAGTTATATATCTATGGAAGTCCAAACAGCCCTTTATTCAGTGTTCTTAATTCTTAGCTTTTAATTCATAGTCCTTAATCCTTATTTCTTCATTTGTTGTCGTATTTCGACATTTGTACACTAAAATTAACATTTGTACCACAAATGTCTGATTTGTAAAACAAATATTGATTTTAAAATACAAATGTTAATCTTAGTATACAAATGTCGAAATATGACAACCAATGAAGAAATAAGAATTAAAGACTATATGAATTAAGAAATAAGAATTAAGAACACTGAATAAAGATCTGTTTGGTCTTCCATAATATATATTTCAAAATCTAATAGACGAATTACTTACTCATAAACATCAGCCAGAATGTCGCCAAAATCTCTAAAGGCACGGCTTTGAAAATTACTAATTCTTGGTAAACCACAAACGTGTTCCCTGAAATCATTGTAGGAAGGTAAACCGTGATCTCGACCACGTTGGATGTTCAAGGCTATCAGATCTAAACTTCCTGTTTCTGTTATAAATAACTTGTTTGTGATGGCCTCTATAAAATATCTGGAACAAAAAAACACATTCAAATTAATGTTTATCGCATAATGGCTAACATAAGAGGGGCCACAGTGGACCAGTGAGTATGCCGATGGTTTGCTAACAAATATTTCACGGGTTCGGTCCCGGTACTGGGCGAGAAAGTGCCTAGCTGACAGCTGAAGTTGTCATTGGAGCAGGACGGTGGGTCTGGTATAGAATAGTGTATAGTCATTCGGAAGGGACGAAAAAAACGTGATCCTGTGTAACACACGTTGACAGACACGTAAAAGGACACTTGTCAGTTGTAATTCGGCCTTAGGCCTTAGAGCTGCTGTCCGGGCAAAATTCCTTCATAGCACATTGTGTGGCGTATGCCCGTTTTCATTAGCCCAGTCGGAGTAGAACAGCCGGACGTTAAACTCCATTTTTATTTCATTATCATTCCAGTTGTGAAGTAATATGTTTTGACCTAGTTCTGACTTTGTGCTTTACCTGAACTTGTGTTTATATTAAAGATATAAAAATTAATATTTTCTAGCAAATTCATTGCCACACAACCTACCTGTCACTTATTTCACTAGGGTTGGAAATCAAAGTTTGAACCAGTGGACTTAACTGGTGCAAAACATAATAGGGTGTAAGGAAGAGGTCTTCCGTGGCTATTTCAGTTCCATTAATTTCCAGACTTTTAACGATGGTTGAATGTCCATATCTAAACGCAGCCGTAGCAAAAGAGTTGTATATACTGGGATTGACCGCAGGGTCGTAAGTATAATTGCCCTCATCAAGTTGATATTGTTCAGCTCCAGTCACACCGATGATCTCTGGTATATATTCTGAAAATTATTGAAATTTGAGAAAGTATAATCCTTGACTGGCATTTAGTGATTGATCACATTAAAGCGAGAATTTCATATTTTCTAAGAAAGTCAAAACATAATTATTTCTATGTCTTTTGCTCAATAGGTTATCAACTCACTATTATACGATGATAGGTGTCATTCTCACACCTAAAACTCATTTACACAGGAAATAACAACACAATTACCTCCCTTGTTTCCTATTGAAAACAATGGTCAGCCATTTCCTCAACGTTGGAATTTGAAGTTGAAAATGATATTTTTGCCAATTTCTCAGCTGGCAATAGTGAATTATAGGATTAATAGGATTATTCTTTAACAACGTAGAACTGTTTATGGATACCATCTATTTTAAGGCTTTATTTTAATAAATTTTAAAAATATAACTTAAAAATTTGAAATTTCCGCTTTAAAATACAATACAGTTTATATGTGTATAATTCAGTGATTGATTTCTATATAAATTGTGTTGTGTTTTATAACAAGTCATGCCGTATCAACCGAGTATCTACTCGCCATAACGTAAATACAACGTATTACATATATCGTAAATACAACGTATTACATATATCGTAAATACAACGTATTACATATATCGTAAATACAACGTATTACATATATCGTAAATATGACATATATCGTAAATACAACGTATTACAAATATCGTAAATATAACGTATTACATATATCGTAAATATAACGTAATACATATATCGTAAATATAACATATTACATATATCGTAAATATAACGTATTACAAATATCGTAAATACAACGTATAACGTATCTCAAATAACGTATTACATATACTAAGCAGCAAAAGAAACGTCAAGTTGGTATGTTACTCTGAATAGAGTGCGCCGACGTCTCACCAGAGAGAACATCCATTGCCGTAGACCTTACCGTGGACCGATCCTCACCCCTCGCCATCGACGTGAACGTCTACAGGCGACACAGGCAATGGAGAACCGTACTGTTCACAGATGAGAGTCGGAATTGCGTATCAACTGCAAATAGCAGGACCAGAATATGGCGTCGACGTGGTCAGCGTTATTCTGACCAAGTGTCATGGAACGAGGCTAATGCAGAGGTCCAATCATAATGGTTTGAGGTGGAATCGGCCTGAACCAGAAACAGGGCCCTGTGGTGTTCCAAAATCTTGTTCGAAGGTGCGGAGGCGACATCATAGCAGTGCGCTACATCGATTAAGCTCTCAGACCCCACGTCATACCACATTTCGCACTTAATCGAAACAACGTTTTCCAGCATGACATCGCCCGTGCCCACACCGCCAGAGTTACAGCAGAACGGTGTCAACGTTATGCACTGGCCAGCCCTTAGTCCGGACTTAAACTCGATTGAACATCTTTGGGATGAAATTCAGAGGAGACTTAATAACACCTATGGATTGCGCCAGGCTTTTCTGAGAGTGTGGTTCCAGGTGCCAATGGAGTTCAACAATCGTCTTGTCCACTCCATGTACAGACGCTGCGCTGCAATCATTGACATTCGCGGTGAACACACCAGATACTGGTGTATAGACTGTGTACAGACTCTAAACCTTCTCGTAATGTCTTGGAGTTTTGATGAATTAATCACTAATGTGTCAGCATACTGTTTACAAAACATTGCTTTGATCCATTCAGTAAGTCGTTTTCTAGAATGATTTGATTTAACGTGCCTCTCTGATTTTGAAATCGTACTGACGTTTTTTTTTTCGTTTTTTTTTTTGCTGTTTAGTATATTATGTAGACACTTATGTAGAAACTTACCGTTGTATGTGATATGTTGTAGAACAGCACTGACGATTTTTCTAGTTTCCTGGAAGATCTGTTCATCACTCCAATCTTTGGTTTCAGCGATCCTGGTGGCAATCTGGTTGTGGAATCGAACGAAAACCGTGTGTAGAGCCGCTAAACCTGGGAACACGTTTACGCGATGATCACCTGGTAAGAAAAATGGATATGTACACACCTCAAAATCTTGATTCATTGGTAGACCTAATGCTCTACAGCGCACCTAGTCCAATACCAAAGAAAATGTCAGTCCGATTCACAAACATTTGGGTTGCTATAGATACAATTATCTAGACAAAACATAAAATAGATATTAATTAATGTTATTAATACCAGAAAACAGATAAATCTCGGTCGTTAGCCTGAAACCAATCATGGTCGTTAGATCGTAGCCTGAAACCAATCTTGGTCGTTAGATGGTAGTCGGAAACCAATATGGTCATTTAAGCCCTAACACATATTATTTGAATTATTTCCTGATGTGTAGTGACTAGTGACTTTAAAAATCGGATGAAGCCTGGAAATCTAGACGCCCTCCAAGCCCCCGACTGCCATCCAACCCGCAAGTCATGTTACTGATTGTACCCACGGGTCTTACATAGATAATACATACAGATACTTCTACAGACCTTCCCACTCTCAACAAGAGCAGTATTGGTGGTATCAAACGTTATCGGGATGTAGAGAGGGATAACTCCGTGTAGTAAACCCTACTTGCTCGGTACAGGGATATAACTCAGTGTAATAAAAAAAACCTTCGTGCTAGTCACAGGGAGGTAACTCTTTGCGATAAAACCAACCTACCTGTTACAGGAAGGCAACTTTGTATGTTTGTCATTGGTAAAACCTACCTGTTAGACACTCGACAAACCTCAGCAGATTCCAGTACCCTAGATCTAGCCTCGGCTGTATGACGAAGTCCGCCAATGGAACTACTTTCAAGTAACGGAATTTTTCCCGAAGTTTGCCGAGTGCCTGTTAGTAACAGGGAGGTAACTTTGTTTAATAAACCCTACAGGGGAGGCGGGATAACGATTTGTAATCAAGACTCCCCTAGTAACAGGGGGGATAACTCTGTGTAATAAAACCTACCTGCTAGTAAACAGTAATCTGTATCTAGAATTTTATTGCAATGTCCATCAACATCTTCTGGTAATTGCTCACCATTGGCAACTTGCATCTGACCTGTTTAAAGTAAAACAAAATGTCTGCAACCACCACTGTTATTTTAACCTCGTAAACTGTGGGTTAGACTGACAATGAGAGCTGTCTAGTCGTTTGGACGGGACGAAAAATCGAGGTCCCGTGTACACATTGGCGTGCACGTAAAAGATCCCTTGACAGTTGGAATTCTATATAAGAGTAGGCCGTAGTGCCGCTGTCCGGGCAAAATTTCACTCATAGCACACTGTATGGCGTATGCCCGTCTTCATTAGCCCAGTCAGAGCAGAACAGTTGGACGTTAAACCCCATTTCATTTTATTTCATTTCTGTGGGTTAGGTCTATTCCTTAAGGTCGCCTCCAGATTGGGTCAAAGGTCACGAGATATAAACAGGGCTAGCGCTAACCCTAACCTGGACCTAGCACTAACCCTTACCCAAACCTTAACTCACAATCTCGTCAATAATCAAATCACGTGCCCTAACCTTATTTACATCTCAGCAACCTTGAGGAAATCTGAAGGTGACCTTTAGAAATAGACACTATCACACCGGAAGCTTATCATCTCCTTATTCATACTAAGATCTTACAATGCCAGCCACAGTTGCTTAACAACCCGGGGGCCTCAGGATCGATACCTGTATTGGGCGAGAAAGTTCTCCGGGAATGTCAACGTGGTTTCCCCTTGTCAGTGGTGCAGGTCGGAAGGTCTGGCACGACAAAGTGGCTGGTCTTTCGGGTAGGATTGAAAAACTAGATTTCGCGTACACGCTTGGGGTATGCTTAAAAAGAGTAAAAGAAAGGCTGGTTGTCGTCTGGTCAAATGAATAAAACATTGGTTAAACTCATCCCGGTTGATGAAGAGAAACTTGACGTTAAACCTCATTTCATCCCCTTTTAGATAGTAAACAACTGGTTCATCGCTCTACCCTCTAAACCAGTGATTCTCAACCAGTGTGTCGCGGCACACCAGATCTTCCTAAGTGTGCCTCGAAATTTTCAACGGCAGACTAAGAAAATGCGAAAAGCCACTGGATCCCAATTGAGTATTTACTGGTGTCATTTAGTTTGTGTCATATTATGTTTACATGACGATTCTGTGTCTACGATTGTATGTCATCTATAACTTGTTATGTGTTTATTTCACAAAATTCAGATATTTTTCATATATATTTAGCCAGGTGTGCCGCTAATTTTCCATGTGTTTCAAGGTGTACCGTTGCCAAAAAAAAGGTTGAGAACCACTGCTCTAAACGTTCAATAATCTCGACATCGTTTTGACCGTAATTCACATTACTAAAACTAGAAAACAATTGGGCGAACGAGACCAGATAACACGTTCTGGGTGCATTCTCCCATAGAATGTAGGGTATTATTCAATGACTATGGATATTAATTAAACAATATCAATGAAAATGATTACAGAATTGTAAAATTTCTCTTTTATTTGATGGTCTTCACCCCACTACAATTAATTCTAACTCACCATTAACACCAGATCTTAGAGCTACCGTCTAAACGTTTAATAACCTCGAAATAGTTTTCACTATAACTCACCATTAACACCAGATCTTAGAGCTGCCTGTTCTTCTGGTGAGCTACCATAAACTTGAGATCCATCAACAAAAGCTGTGATGACGTTCTCTTGTTCACGTGGTGCTGGAGTAAAAACATACATGCAGTTTATCAAATATTGTGACAGATTTAACAAATTGGGGTTTAACGTCCACTCAATATAAAGTTAGTTCGGGGCTAACATGTGGTAGATCTTTATCAAAATAATGGGGCGCGTGTCTCCTTATCACGTACAAGCATGGAATTGAAACCGCTATATCACATGACTCAATGGCAGATCGCACGGTCACTTAACACCAAACTATGTTCGCCATGTGTTCACGAGAGACTGTCGTAAGTGACGTAGAGACTGCCGGAAGTGACGTAGAGACTGCCGGAAGTGACGTTATGTGGCGGAATAGACGTCAAGTAGTCTAGAACGAAAAAGAAAGTCACCCGTTCATAGGACATGTTTGACCGGACATCGGAGTTTCAGCTAACTTTGGCAAGTTAAAGGCCAACCCGAAGTTGTTAACCATACTTAACCAAAACCAAATATAACATAATCAAAAACAAAAATAGCTTAGGCAAAAACAAATTCTATAACTTAATCAAAAACAAATTCTATAACTTAATCAAAACAGAAATATATAACTTAATTTTAAAAAATTCATTAGCTAAATAATGAGATATTCTTCGACTTACAATTTGATGTGTTAAGGGATCTTTTAAATTCCATACATTTAACTCCCTTTGGTCCAAAATATGTATCATTATCTGGTATAGAAATAGGGAAACACGGCCCTCTAGAAAAACAAATAGAGCAGTCTTAAAACGCTGAAATCATACACAGTCTTAAAACGCTGAAATCATACACAGTCTTAAAACGTTGAAATCGTACACAGTCTTAAAACGCTGAAATCATACACAGTCTTAAAACGCTAAATCATACGCAGTCTTAAAATGCTGAAATCATACGCAGTCTTAAAACGTTGAAATGATACGCAGTCTTAAAACTTTGAAATTATTCATCGTCTTAAAAGCCAATTTAAAATATATTATGTACGGCGTAAGAGCTAAATTTGCCAATTGCAGGTCTTCCATTAGACCTTAAATGTTATATGAATTATTAATTAGACAATACTATAATCAACTCTCGGTATCATCGGATACTTGAGATGTTAACTAGATTAGAACGGTTCATCCATTTAATGATTTAATTCAAAAATGGGACAGCGAGGCTAAAACTCGAATATTCAAGTAAGATAATAAACATTCCATGCACACATCTTGTCAGAACTACAAACAGTGATAACTTGGCTCAGAATATAGTAATTTCAAGGAAATTTTCAATATATTCGCTTTGCATTATCTATTTTTGAACTTTCAGCTCTTTATCTGAATCTTACATAATGCATCATTAAAGGAGCTAAATCGCTAATATTCGGGACCTAGAAACTGAAACAAATGGGTCGCAACGCATATAATAATGTAATATGAATGTATATAAATGATTTACATTCAACCGTTTCCGTTTTTACTCTAATTTCAAATCAGTTATTTCCAGCGAAATACGGCATGAGTCTCAACCGAATGGCAATTTCTAGCGTCTGGTTATTCCAGTCTATTGCGCAAGCGCTCCAGATAAGATATGACGTCATAGTTTGACATGAGTGGTGGAATATGTCTAGCCTTGTTCTTTCTGGTCACTTGTTACAAATGACGCTTAAACGCACTATGGTACACGATTCGTGTACCAATGGTAAAATGTTTATTTTGTCTTAAATATTGGATATCAGAAGCCTCCTTTTCCCGGTAAGATCACAACATCAATGCTGATTCGAATCGACAAATAATTCGTGTTTTCAACGTGTAAGACTTTGGATGGTGTTGGGTTAGAAACTTAGCTACTTTAAGTAAAATAAAACAATGTTCACTCACCCAGCAAGAACGTCTGGATGTTGTGTACCAGCTATGACATCATCAGTACAACAAACCTCGATTTCACCTGTAATATAAATATACATGTCTTTATATTACTATCGTGGGGTGGGGGGGGGGGTGATTCCCCACTTGTACGTGACAAGGCATAGGGTCACCTGTCCAACCTCATGGCTTTTCTCCAGGTCCTCCTGTTTCCTCTCACTGCTAAAGACCCCTACGCGCAAGCGAATTAATTATATAAAATTGAACCATATGTTAGTCCCGAAATGACATAGTTTAAGTCGAATGGACCATCAAAACTTGGACATTCATTTTGAGACCGACATATGGTTCAATTTTAATTCATTAATTCGCTTGCGCGTAGGGGACTTTCGCAGTGGGAGGAAACTTCGGAGAAACCCCATGAGGTTGGACAGGCGATCCTACCCCTTGTCACGTACAAGCGGGGAATCGAAACCATGCCACTTGACTCAATGACAGATCTTTTAATCCAACGAGCACGCGTTAACCATTCGGTCACTCAACACCCCGCTGTACTAATGGCTAATCCTCAAGTGCAATAAAGCAATAAAAGACAAGGTGTTAGTCTCATAATAAAATGAAATGGGGTTTTACGTCCTACTGTTCTACGCCATACAGTGTGCTATGAGGGAAATTTTGCCCGGACACAGCGCTAAGCCCTACTCTTATATCGAATTCCAACTGCCAAGGGATCTTTTACGTGCTCACCAATGTATACACGGGACCTCGGTTTTTACGTGCACGCCAATGTGTACACGGGACCTCGGGTTTTTGTTCCATCCGAACGACTAGACAGATGTCCTTGTCAGGCCCTAACAAGGGGAAGCAGCAAATGTTTGTGTCCAATGTTTTTAAGTTTGTTTAAACTGTTTCATAAACTTACGATCAACAAGGGGTGTAGCTGTGATGTCATGATCTAGAAACTGACCCCACTGCATGAACATTACGGTCCATCGTCTGTCCAGATCAATAGCCGGATCGTACACATGAACCTTGGTGCTGACTGTTCTGGCACCAGGAAGTGGGTTACCAGCCGTACCTGTTAGTCTGGGTAACTTGGTACCTTAAAGAAAAAATGAAAATAGACAACCTTAAAGATAAAATAATGCTAGACTTTTAATTATTCTTACGGTTTCTTTGACGTCATGATGTTCAAGGTTATCAGTCACGTTTGCTTATTTGGCGTGGCGCGGTGTGGGGGTGGGGTGGGTGAATGACTGAATGACAGTGGAATGAAATGGGGTTTAACGTCCTACTTTTTGCTCCAACTGGGCTAATGAAGACGGGTTAAGGGTAAAGTAAAGATAGACTTTTAATTATTGTAAATAAATATTTACAGTGACCGTTGGAGTTAGTGTCCCGGAGAAGACTCACTAAGCAGGTAAAGTTCCTTTTTCGACCCCCCCCCCCCCCGTCCGCGCACATTTGTCAGTAGTTTATCACGAAGGGGCTGGCCATGGAACGGTGCCTAACAGCGACTCGATACAAAATAGACTAACATATACGGTTCAATTTTATTTCAATAAATTGCTTGCGCGTAGGGGTCTTTAGAAGTGGAAGGAAACTGGAGGACCCGGAGAAAACCCACGAGGTGTGACAGGCGACCCTACTCCTTGTCACGGACACCCGGGGAATCGAAACGCATTAGACCAGAAAAGCCATACTTGACTGATAACCTTGAACGTTATGACGTCAAAGAAATCGCTCACTGAATCAGAGGCAATATCTAAAGAGCAATATGTTTTACAATTAGCATTAATGTTTATTTATTTGTGAGGAAATCTGGCAGTAGTTCAACTGGAACGTGTTGTCCACTTTAAAAATAGAAATAAAGAATATCGGATGTTTTGTTTGGGTATGTGTTTATTATGGAGGATTAGATACGCCACATTATGGTTTAACTGTTCATGTGAAACAATAAAAAAAGCTAAATTATTTCTATATATATACTTCAAGGGACATTATAGGATATTAGATGAAGAGCTGACAGTTCTCGGTATTATAGTTAAAAAATAGATAATGTAAATAGAACATGCTGAAAATTTCAATCAAATTGATCTACTCTGAACCGAGATATTAGATTTTGAATTTTAGGCTAGTCTCAATCATATTTACTAAAGTCGGTACGATAAAAAAACCAAAAGTCTCGATTGTCCATTTTGACGTTAAATCATCCATGAAAAAAAGTATTCAAATCCAATAAATATTGCAGGCTAGCGATGGCATCGAGATAAGTTAATTAATATCTAATTAATAATTTAGATAACATTTAGGGCCTAAAGAAAGACATGCAATAGTCATGTAAAATGGTGTTTAACGTCCCCTCACACAAACTAGTTCATTTCGGGACTAACATGGATCAACTTTATTTCCATAATTCGCTTGTTGGTAGAGGTCTTTAGCAGTGGGGGGAAACCAGAGGACCCGGAGGAAACCCACGAGGTTGGACAGGCGACCCTACTCCTTGTCACGTACAACCAACCGGGAAATCGAAACCACGTCAGTTTACTCAACGACAGACATTATGACCGGTTGTAGTGGAAGTTCGTGTCAGAGGTCATACGAACGGCTTTTGACCCTATGACGAAAGACATTTGATTAACGTTATGGTTCTAGTGGTTTACCCACAGTTTCGTGCACCTCACGCCAAAAGCTCGACGTAACAGACCGTTTCGTTGGCTATTCTTCCAGATCCTAATGTAGTAAAGACAAGTAAAACGAAATTTTGAACTATAAAAAACGAAACGAAATAGGATCTGTGTTTTAACCAGATTGTTTACTTACCATCTTCGTATGAATTTTGGAGAAGTCGTTCAAAGGGGATTTCTGCTGATCCCCAATCTGGCTGAGCGACATTGTTACAACGGCCATTAGCTGTTCTATAAATAGCATCTGTCGTATCAAACTGCTTACATTCATCAGCAAAATCACTCAGTTGTCTCCTACAATAATAATAATAATAATAATAATAATTATAATCCACATAATATATCATGGCCAAATAAACCAAAATACATCAAAACGAAATATTTACTACAATCAGAAACTAAATTCTCTCTTACATGTAATTTGGTTATTATCCAGAGGGTCCTTCTGCTTCTTTTACTAGTGTTTAACATCCACTTCCACCTATGGTGATATCGCAGACAGATTGTCTTATTTTTATTATCTTAGCTCACGCGCAGTGGGGTCTTTCCTGTAGGAGGAAACCGGGGTACTCGGAGTAAACCCACGACGATGAGAAGGCACCTCAATATCCAAGCCACACCAGGGATCAAAATCACGACCGCAAGCCAGGGGTAATCAACCAGCTAGAGTTCAAAGCGCTACACTCTAGACCACTAGGCCACAAGATTTATGCACAAAGGGATCTCCCCGACCCCCCACCCTCCCCACCCTTGTCCCATATTCGTCGTTCACAATTCTTTGAATAGTCTTCACTGTCATTATATCATAATAAGGTCGGATTGGGGAGGTTTTGCTGTCACTGTGATAAAAAAAAAAACGGTTGGATTTAAGAGGTTTTACTGTTAATATGGTTTACCTCTCTAGTTCAGCCTCTTCATCTTGAGGTAAAACAAATCGTCTACCTGTCAATTAAGACCAAAATCGTTTCTTTTAAATGAAATAGGATACAGTTAACGACTCGTGCCTTCATTTGTTTTGAACGGGCTCATTAATCAGACTTTCAATTGCTTTGGTTTTTTTGTCTGCACCATAATGAATCATTATCTTATGTTGTATAAATTAATACATTATATTTTTCCTCGCCAACTGGAATATTTTATCTGTCAGAATTGTGTGATAAAACCCCCCAGCATTTTATTAACAGTTTTATTGGCTTCTATTTACATGGGGAATGCTAATTGTAGGCCGGTTGGGAAGGTTCGGGAATTTCCGGAGTCCACACAGGTCGCTTTATACAAATAAATATTTTGGGACCTACTAACAATAACCCTAACCCTTTTAACAGGGGCAGAAGGTAAATTGGATCCAAGTTCAGTCTCCCAAAAGAGTTCCGGTTGGTATGTCCAAAAATACTCATTTATGGCTATAAAGCGGCGATTATGGACTCCGGAAATTAGTTTAAAAAGTTATGGTTTATGTTCTGATCCAATCAATTACTATTATTCATTGTCGGTTATTATAAATACTTGAATTTTATGTAAAATATGTAAAATGTATTTCGTTCTTGATTATCGTGTAAATTTTCAAAATTTGTCTCCAAATTAAATGCAAAAAAAAAATAAAAAATAAAAATGTTTTCAAATAATTAAAGGATAAGTTTATGGATACTATAATATATGGATACAGACATTCTACAGTACATATCGCTTGTGTGATAAATTTCATAAGCCAAATGTACCAGGGCCTAAAATAAGGTTTATTTTTTGTAGCACGGATTCGGTGTCCGACCGACCGCTAGCGCCGGTGGGGAAAATTCCGAGCTGTGGACTAGTCTGGCACAGTCTACATCGGAGTTTATGCGACTATGCGCAGCTTTTATTTTTCGCATGAAAGCTCAGCACTAGGAAGATAACACACCACTTTTGTTACGATAATATTTAAATTATAATTTAAATTCTATCATTACATCAACAGCAAAACTCAAATTCTATCAATAACAAGGGTAAAAAATATTAAAAAATCTGATTATTATCTTTTAAAGTCTCTTTAGGGAGTGAATTCAATAGGGGTCAGGAGGCATCGCTACATTACACTTTTTCAGTGCACTACACCATTTTTTTCAGAGCACGGTTTTCTTATTTTCGTAGCACGGATTTTGATTTCGAAGCACGTTCGTGCTCCAATGCATTTTATTTTAGGCCCTGAAATCTACTAAATTTGATTGGTCTATTAAAAAGAAACTACTTTTTATTTATTTTCAAAGAACAGTTGATTTTTTATTAAAAGTAACTTCTTTTTTTTTTTATTAAAAATGAACTATTTTTTTTTAATTAAAAATGAACTATTTTTATTTAATATACCTTGATCGAAACACTGGGTCAATTTAAAGGACTTTGCAATGGTTGAATTGCTGTCAAAAAAATGATGCAATGTAATCAATTTCAGTAAATGTGAAATCTATAGCAAAGAATTATATTTATTTATTTGTGCATGTAAGAAAGGATTGGGTGATAAATAAAATCTCCTACTCGTCTTTTTTATATCAAAAAATATCAACACTCGTCGATAAAGTCAAAAAATAACTCGACAGAGCCTCATTCTTTTAATTTATCGACGAGTGTTGATATTTGTTGATATAAAAAAAGACGAGTAGGAGATTCTCTATATCTAATTATTAAATAATTAAACAACAAGTTCTTATATGGATACAGACATTCATCCATGAGATTTGTTATAAGTTATCAAATAATTAAACAATATAAGTTCTTGTATACTATATGGATAGAGACACACATTCACGAACTTTGTTATAAGTTTTCAAATAAACAATTAAATAAAATTAAAAATCAAAATAATAAGTTTTACTATACTATAATATTTGGAAATAATCTTTCATTCATAATCATGGTGTAAACTTTTGAAAATGTCGTCTATAATTCAATGGTTAAAATAAAAGAAAGCCCAACAGTTGTTTTTTTATTGTAAACGTATATCTTACCTTGAACAACGATGACCGTGACAACAAAAACAAGTAGACGAAGCATGTCTACAATCAACCAAAACACAGTATGATCATCGCAACCACCTAAAACCTTTATATACACCTAGAAGGGTGGGAATTTTAATCTTTAATTACCAAATATGAGGTCAAGGTTTATTTTGGGTTTTATTTTGCTGTTTAAATATGTTGCTGTTTATTGTCCCAATGCATCGTTCCTTGTCCTCGATGTCGTTCATTGCGTTTTACGGTTAAATACATCACAATATAAGGACTATTTCTATCTTTACTCATCACTTGTTCTCTTTACTTCTTGTTTTCAGTAGGTTTTATCGTCGACTTAATCTTCTCCAAACCAAGTAATTAAGAAATTATATTAAACAGAAAACTCATCCAAACGAAAATATTGTTCGATCAACATGGTTAATCTGATCTTTAATCTGGTAATTGTGAAACTGACCTTCATGGTAGGACATAAAAAAACATATAATTTATAATTGGCAAAGAATTCTTCCAAAGTTTTGCTCACTAATTTTATTTATTTATTTATTACTTTTTGTTTGTTTGTTTTATTTTTCATTTTATTTTTTTAATTTAATTTAATTTAATTTAATTTAATTTAATAATTTAATTTAATTTAATTTAATTTAATTTAATTTAATTTAATTTAATTTAATAATTTAATTTAATTTAATTTAATTTAATTTAATTTAATTTAATAATTTAATTTTATTTAATTTAATTTAATAATTTAATTTAATTTAATTTAATTTAATAATTTAATTTAATTTAATTTAATTTAATAATTTAATTTAATTTAATTTAATTTAATTTAATTTAATTTAATTTAATTGAGGGGGCCACGGTGGCTAAGACACTGGCTCGCTAGCCTGGAGTTCGGGTATTCGATCCCTGCATTGGCCAAGAAAGTTCATCGGGATTTTCCTACGCGGTTTCCGTGGTAAAGAACGGATGGCCTGGCAAGGGCAGCTGTCTAGTCGTTCGGATGGGACAAAAAATGAGGTTCCGTTTACATATTTGCGTGCACGTAAAAGATCCCTTGACAGTTGGAATTCGATATAAGAGTAGGCCGTAGTACCGCTGTCCGGGCAAAATTTCCCTCATAGCACTCTGTATGGCGTATGCCCATCTTCATCAGCCCAGTTCGGAGCAAAACAGTAGGACGTTAAACCCCATTTCATTTTATTTCAATTTGTTTTACTTTGATTATTTTATTTTATTTTATTCAAAAGATTAGCGTTTTGAGTTTGCAAATTTACTCTTTAATTTACTGAACAGTAACATGACCAATATCGTGTTTGTGCAGTGTATGCTTTTTTCGTCTATAATCGAGTGATATCACTTTAAGCCATTTGATAGATTGTTAAACATACATTATGCAAGACCTAAATCAATCTGATTAGAACACAGATCCAACCTCGTGGGTTTTCTCCGGGTCCTCCGGTTTCCTCCCACTGCTAAAGACCCCTATGCGCAAGCGAATTATTGAAATAAAATTAAACCATTTGTTAGTCCCGAAATGACCTAGTTTGTGTCGAGTGGACGTTAAACCCCATTTCTCTCTCTCTCTCTCTCTCCTCCGGTTTCCTCCCACTGCTAAAGACCCCTATGCGCAAGCGAATTATTGAAATAAAATTAAACCATATGTTAGACCCGAAATGACCTAGTTTGTGTCGAGTGGACGTTAAACCCCATTTGTATCTCTCTCTCTCCATCGAAAGTATAAAAAACGAAACGAAATATAGATGTATATTTTAATTAGATTGGAGCTAAATCTGCCTATTTCAGGTCTTTCTTTAGGCCTGAAATGTTATTTAAACTATTAATTAGACATTAATTAACCTATCCAGAACATAATCAACTCTCGATGGCATCGAATACTCGAGATTTTAACTAGATTATAACGGTTCGCCATTTAAAAATTTAATTTGAAAATGGGAAAGCGAGGCTAAGTCACGAATATACCAGTGCGCTAGTTACCACTATGCACACATCTTGTCAAAACAATAAACAGTGATAATTTGGCTCAGAATGTAGTAATTTGGCTGAAATTTCAATATTTTCTTTTTTTTATCATTTATTTTTGAATTATTATAGCAAGAATGATCAACTCTTTATAAAACTCTTAACTAATGTATCTTTAATCAATACTGTTGACTGTTGATCATTAAAAGGACTACTTCAGTCCAAATACAGTTTGACAAGAACAGCTGTCTAGTCCTTAGGATGACACGAAAAAAACGAGGTCCCGTGTATACATTGGAATGCACGTAAAAGATCTCTTGGCAGTTGGAATTCGATATAAGAGTAGGCGATAGTGCTGCTGCCCGGGCAAAATTTCCCTCGTAGCACACTGTATGGCGTATGCCCGTCTTCATTAGCACAGTATAGGAGCAGAACAGAAGGACGTTAAACCCCATTTCTTTTCATTTCATTTCCAAATACAGTTCAATTCCGTTCAGTATTTACAAGAAATGAAGTGAAAACATTCGGTGTTCCGGATTTCCTCTGCTAGCACATTTGCCGGCAATAACTAGTGTGTGTAGTGAGCGTAAGAGAATCAATGCATCAAATCGTCGCCTGTTTTCACGGAAATGGATATGAACGTTTGGGACTTTTAGAAAGTGAACATGTTCTGTGTGTCAAATGTTTTTGTTTTGTTTTTCTGAAAATTGAAGTGAAATGGTGTTCTGGCTATCTCTTCATTGAATTCCATCAGGTTATTTTACGTGCACGCCAACGTGTGCATGGTGCCGCAGTTTTATGGGCACGCCATCGTGTACATGGAGCCTCAGTTTTATGGGCATGCCGTCGTGTATTCTCGCCCCATAGGAATGACTAGACTAGATTTTCCCGTAATCATCTGTGCTTCGAAAAATGACTTGAGAAACTGGCGACCTGTGTGTATGGGGGTGGGCTGGGATTAGTTGTTGTGACGAGAATTTCAACTCCCCCTACTAGACCTGAAGAACTAATAGGGATAGCTCGGTTGACTAATCAACCAGGTAAAACACAGGTAAATACAGGTACATTGCATTTACGGTGCGCAGTGACTGTCATGCATTTGTACATGATTCTGTTGATGACCCCAGGGTGGTTTACAATTAGTCTCGCAGATTTAACATGTGGTCATTACAGCGTATTGATCAGTAACAGCAATGGGAGAGAGAGGGAGAGAGAGAGAGAGAGAGAGAGATTTACTCATGGTGTGTCTCCATGTCAGATGAGAAGCGAATTCTTCACGACCCTGACCATTCTGGTGGAGAGTCTCAACGTTCCGTCCCCGGGGAACACGAGTCGTTACCCATGTGTGTAAAGCAATCTTTGGTGAACCCGGATACATACCCAGGCTTTAACACATTCCATTGCCTCGTAGCGTCCACTCGCCACAAACTAAGTCATTTCGGGACTAACACACGATTCAATTTTATTTCATTAATTCGCTTGCGCGTAGGGGTATTTAGCAGTGGGGGGAAACCGAAGGACCCGAAAAAATGCCACTAGGTTGGACAGGCGACCCTACTCCTTGTCACGTACAACCGCGATCGAAACCATGCTAATTGACTCAATGGCAGACTTTATGATACAGCGCGCACGTGCTATCTGTTCGGCCATCCAACCCCCCGTACAGAACAGAGAAATTGTAATACACTTTTCAATATATTCATTATCTACTTTTGGACCATTACAGAAAAAATTGCCAGCTCTTTATCTAACTTCAGTATTATTACCAATCTCGCTATAAGCATTGTAACGGTTGTACGTGACAAGGAGTAGGGTCGCCTGTCCAACCTCGTGGGTTTTCTCCGGGTCCTCCGGTTTCCCCCACTGCTAAAGAAGGCTACGAGCAAGCGAATTAATGAAATAAAATTGAACCATTTGTTAGTCCAGAAATGACCTAGTTTGTGTCAAGTGGACGTTAAACCCTCTCTCTCTCTCTCTCTCTCTCTCTCTCTCTCTCTATGGAGGCACGGTGACTCAGAGAGTAAGACGTAGGCTCCTTAAACTGGAGGTCCCGTATGCAATCCCGATGGTAGCCGAGAAATGCATCAGGATTTCCCGGCGTGCTACTCCTTTGTCAGTGGTTTAGAACAGGGTCCTGGCAAGTGGTAGCGTATAGTCGTTCGGATAGGAAGACAAACCGAGGTCGCGTATTCAATTCCGGTGATGGCCGTGAAATTTATCAGGATTTCCCGGGGTGGTTCTTTTTGTCAGTGGTTTAGGACAGGCTCCTAGCAAGGGACAGGGGGGATCACGCTGGCTAAGTGGGTAAGACACTGGCTCGCTAGCATGGAGGTCGGGTGTTCGATCCCTGCATTGGCCGAAAAAGTTCATCCAGATTTTCCGTCGTGGTTTCCCCTTGTCAGTGATGCAGGACGAAGGGCCTGACAAGGGCAGCTGTCTAGTCGTTCGGATGGGACAAAAAAACCGAGGTCTCGTGTACACATTGGCGTGCACGTAAAAGATCCCTTGGCAGTTTGAATTCGTTATAAGAGTAGGACGTAGCGCCGCTGCCCGGGCAAAATTTCCCTCATAGCACGTTAAACCCCATTTCATTTCATGGCAAGGGATAGTCGTTCATGTGGGAAGAAAACAAGGGGGTCCCGTGTATTATTATTATTATTATTATTGTTCGATTTATATAGCGCTTCATTACACGTGAAGTGTTTCTAAGCGCATATCACAAACATATACTTCAAACACACAGAAACAATCAAAATCGGGAGAACATAATTAAACACAGCTGCCTGTTAGGCGCTATTATTCAAAGGTTTATATCCAACAAATCAACCGGCTAATCTCTATATTAAACTCAGTCGAGGTATTACCTGATGAACACCTACACCAAGTAGAGTTCAAAAATAAAAAGTTTAAAAGAATCAACTTCATTAACAAAAATTAAACAATCAAAAACTAAACAGATAAATCAAATTCAAACGAAACAAATAAAACAAAGAAAATGAAAAGAGCAGTTCATTACCATTCTACATTAACAAAATAAAGGAACTCAACTTGTGAACATTTTTTCAAAAAAATAAGAGCAAAGTAACACTAATGTTAATACTTTTTTAACGACCCTACTGAATGAATGTTGGGCTTAACAAAACGATCATGAAATGGCCCAATTAGTTAGAGATGCATAATATTTGAGATTTCAGGTAATCAAATAAACATGTTAATATTCAACAATGCAAATATTTTGCTGAAAAATATTAGGCGTAACAGATAATGATAGGTATCCAGAAGTAACGCTAAAATTATTGTCACATATCTGTACACAACTTTTAAAATTCAATGAGAATCTTTATGATGCCACAAAAAAACAACTTTACCAGGCTTCAACAAAACAAATCGTATTAAACATGCATTGTGTAAGAGCTAAATCTGCCTTTTCTAGGTCTTTTTTCTGACATTAAATATTACATAAATATTAACATTTATTAACATCACAAGCTTTCATAAATTTGACGATGACGGAGAGAAAACTCTGTGATTTAGAAATTAAAGAAAACATCTGAATTTTGATAGACTTAATGAAAAATCCCTGCAAATTTGAAAAAGCTTTGTCATGAAACTCTATTATAATTTACAAGAAATCTTCATCCAGAAGACTGCAATATCCATCGACATATTAAATGCGAGTGCATAAAAATAATATTAACCATGTTCAAAGGCACTTATTATTTGTTAAATCGGGTACTTCATATTGCCTGAAATCCCACCATTGTATTCTATGAGATTGTGGGACTATATTATTAGCTACAGCATTTTCACCTGTTCCCATAAAAGCACCTGCTATTGCCCCATGTATACATTGGTGTACACGCAAAAGAACCTGTGGCCGTTTGAATTCGATATAAAAGTAGGCCGTAGCGCCGCTGTCTGGGTCAAATTTTCCTCATAGCACATTGTCAATATTCATTAGCCCATTCGGTGCAAAAACGTAGGGCGTTAAACCCAATTTTATTTCATTCCACTTCTGGTGATAAAGGTCACTAGCAAAGCTTCAAATATGTAATTAATTTTGTCAACATATCCTTCACATGAGTTCCCGAATGGCCAATATTAGTCGTTCAGAAGGGACGAAAAACCGAGGTCCCGTGAACACATTGTGTGCATGTAAAAGATCCCTTGGCAGTTGGAATTCTATATAAGAGTAGGCCATAGTGCCACTGCCCGGGCACACTGTATGGCGTATGCCCGTCTTCATTAGCCCAGTTGGAGCAGAACAGTGAGACGCTAAACCCCATTTCATTTCATTTCATTTCTAACCAATAATAATCAGTTACTATAACAACGATACAGATATTTCAACCGGACACATGTATGCGGCAGCATTTAGTACTCTTCGTCATTTTTTATTTACACCAAATACTAATTTCGGTCATAACACTTACTATTTAAAGGAGCTAAATCGCTAACATTTGGGACCTAGAAATTGGCACAAGTGGGTCGCAATTCATATAATACTGTAATATGAATGTATATAAACTGATTTACATTCAATCGTTTCCGTTTTTACTCTTTTTTCAAATTAGTTATGTTCCGTGAAATAAGACAGCAGTCTCAATCGAATGCAAATTTCTAGCGTCTGGTTATTCCAGTCTACATACGCCGTTTGGTTTGGTGCAATATGTCTAGCCTCGTTCCTCGAGTCTCTTGCTAGAACTGGGGCTGAAACGCATTATGGTACACGATTCGTGTACCAATGGTAAAATATTTATTTTGTCTTAAATATTGGATATCAGAAGCCCATCTTTTTCCGGTAAGATCACAGCATCAATGTTGTTTTAAATTGACAAATAATTCGTGTTTTCAATGTTGAAGATTTTGGATGATATTGAGTTAGAGACTTAGCTAATTTAATGTAACCATTTACACTAAATATGAATTATTTTTATCAAGATATATGCATGTATTAATATTGAGACCTAATTAACTCGCACTGATGTCATTCCTCTCAGTGATTGTTGACGTGAACATGTACTGTTGATCAGTCTCGTCCTAGCTTGTAGACTGGATTCTCGAGACTATATAGGTCCCGCACGTGCATTGTGTGATACAGTATTCGTCATTTGTTATTTAAGCAAACGTTTGGTTGACGACAGGTCAAAAGACGGTCAGCGGTCTTGTAAGTTTTAAAACCAAACTTTGTGTTTGTATAATAGTTACAGTCAGTAAATCGCAGACATGACATGAAAATATCTTGTATTTATATCTGTATATAATTATGCCACAATATTAAGGGCAAGGTAAAGTGACACCATCTTGTTGCAAACTAGTCTCGACACCAACAAGGCTGAACATATTATTTTCCAAAATAGAATAGTGGGCCCTTGGATACAAAAGTCCAAAATATACCTTTAAATCGTACACCCACGTGTTATCATGTAAACGAAAATTTCAATGTCATCACTTTCTTGCCCAATCGCGGTTACATCGACAGACACAATGATGAAACTTGGACAGCTAATGCTATTGGGGACAGCTATTATCTCTCTACACTCTGATCAATGTGTACTGTAGTACAGTCGTCGAGTCTTAGATTTTCAAGTTACTTTCTTTTTTCTATCCGCGTACCTGCAACCACGTGGTTGAGGTGGGGCGCTAATTATGGTTAAACTGGCGTTTACAAGAACATGTCGATTGTAAATGTTTTATTTACATCAAGATACAATTCTACCTATTGCAAGTCTTTATTTAGACTTCAGATGTTATAGAAATTATTAATTAGACCTTTATTTACAA